TGAGTCTAGTGATACTTTCCTCTGAAATAGAGTGCCTTTCTTAGACCTGACTGGCACCAAATCCCAACACTGACTAAAAAAAGTACTGTTTATAGTTGATTCCAATCTAAGTGGATGTTGGAAGTTTATTTCAACTGAATCTTTACTTGATTACAAATATTTAAAGCAGCAGTTTTCATCACTTTCTGATTTGTAAGAGAGACGTGATTTCCATTCAGTTTTACACGCTCTACTGTGTCGGTTGCTAGGAGGCAATCATTTCCTTCATAGCGGGAGCTTTGCTACTGAACCAACTATTTGTTGTTGAAGCATCTGAGGCATAAACATCAATCCTAATAGCATGGGAAATGCTGGTGCTTCATCATAGGATGCAAAGACTTCTCTTTTCACGAAGCAACAGAATGACAGAAGTTATGACTGTCAAATCTTTAAATCAATCAAAAAGTGTTTTTCTAGCCAAATAAATGTGGGTTTGTGTTTTCGAGTTCCCTGCTTTACTCCCCAATGGCCTGCATGATTTTCACTTGTTCATACAACATAGCTCATATTTGTATATATAATAACGCTAAGTACATGCAAATCCTTGGAAAGCTCTTTGTAGAACATATACTTGAAGATGCAGTGTTCAATCAGTTGCGAATATATAGCCCTTTGACTAGTAAAACACTTGCACACATGCATGAGTGGACTCACTTATCATACTCTTCCACCTTGATATCAGATTCCCTAGGAGGGGGGAAAACAGAGGAGAGCAATTATGAAGCTGTGGCAGCTCTGAGAGTTGCACCAGCTTTTCTAATTTTACAGAAAAAACTGTCTATGTGAACTCTTTGTTCTGCCTCCTTTTGATTCTGGTTGGGTAATGTTCCTAAATACCTCTTTCTTTTGTACAGAAATGATTGTGTGTGATTGGGTAAACATGAATGGTTCTCGTGACAAACACACACAGCTTTTAACAGCATCCCCCAACCCGTATAAAAAGGACTAGTGACACCTCTCGATGAGCATCTCTGCTAAAGCAAACAGATCGTAATGATCATGGTGATTATCCTAATGGAAGTGGATAATGAGGTTATTTGCTTTGGATCAAGGCAGAATGGAAATGAATAGCCGAAGTAACTGAGGGAAGCATCCCAAATGGTATGACTGAGCTGAGCTGTGTGTGTGTAACTCTGCTACTAGGGATGGGTACGGTGGCCCAGAAGGTCAATACACAACAGCATTTCACCCAAAAAGTTTTCTATCGGTTCCAACAATCACCAACTCTGGTTTGGTCGCAAAAAAGTTACATGTGAAATTGTGCCGACTCGACACTCTGTTTCCCCCGCTGTCTCTCTCTCTCTCTCTCTCTCTCTCTCTCTCTCCCTGCCCTCAGAACGGCAGCTCTCACTCGCTCTTCAGTTGCAAATCATCTGAATTAGTCAAATCAATTAACAAAAATGACTTAGAAACCCACAACATATCCATAATTACTCATCAAATTATATATTTGTCCAATCCCCCAACCATATCCACCACCGCTTCATTAGGACAGCTGCATGTCTGGGTTTTATTTTATTTGAATACAACGGACTGTTAATCTGCCTTAACTGCCCTCGTCCCCTTTTTCCCCAGTGCAAATAAATTGCTGCCCGTTCTCCCATTTTGTGGGCTCCGGTCTCGTAGGGGTTTGATGTTGTGCTCTATTACAAGAGAAACAGTGATGATAATAATGGCGGATGTGATCAGTGCAGAAGGTCAGCATCTGGCCTCGGGCGCGTAACATTCTCCAAGTAGGGAGAGCAGAGAGGGTGAAGATACCCTTCTCACACCCTCCAAAGACTCCTAAACTTCCCCAACCCAGAGGCAGACTGACTCAACACAGGCAGAAGCAATGTTTTCTCCTTTGACATTACTTCCAGTTTTCTTACTATTCATTTGCTGTTCTCACTTGGCTATTTTCCGCTGTTTCTCCTCCCACTCTTTCTTATTTTTTCTCGTTATACTGAAAGCAATCCTTCTCTTACTTTGTTCTATACTTCTTTGGCTCCTTCTGTTCCTTGTTTAATAGTCACTCAGACGGCATAAAGCATTCCTCTCTATTTTCAGTTGTCCTTCATCTTTTACATCCTTCTTTTCTCTGTATGTACTCCCTGCTTACCACATTGAAATAGTGTTCTGTAATGCTAGCTTTTTTTCTTCTCACAAAATGAAATCAATTTATCCACCCTGCACTTTTTCTCTCTCTCCCTCCTTCAATCACGTACCAGCCCTCCCTCCTCTCTCCTCATCTTCTGAGACCACAGGAGAGCTATTGTTAAAAAGTACAGATGGAAGTACAGTCAGAGGAAAGGAGAGGAAAGACAGATTTTTCTTATTAAAACCACAAAAGTTAGAAATGGAAAAAAACGACGGCCGGTCACTACACAGGAGGGAATCGCTTTTTCTAACCATTGATAATAGAGCACGAATGGAAGCAGGGGGGGGCGGAAAGGCCATGAGAGGGAGCACTGACGCCAACGCTTCTACAGTACCACATCACATGTCTATTGCTATTTGTTTACTGCTTTTCCACTCTTTCTTTGTCTCCCCTGCCCTCCCTCTGAGCGTGTCCTTTTTCTCTCAGCTTCTGGTCATAGAGGGTGGTCGCAAACAAACTCAAATTAAGGCGCAGGCTGCAGCAATAGTGAAGAGGTTGTGTGTTTGTGCACATAATATAAATAAATGCTGGTGTGAAGAACGGCTGCTGCGGTTATGCTTTGTACAGTACTCAGTGTCCTGTTTGCATTCTTTCTCCCTTTTCACTGTTTGCCCTCTCCTCGCCCACTCGGTCTTACTCGTACTCTACGACATCCAACATACTAATCCACACAGCGACACCCAGGCAAGACAGTGGCTGCGGGCCGGGCGTTGCCACTGGGGAGAAGGGTAAATATCAGAGAAGGTCAGGAAGGGGAGGGGCTGGAGAGGTGGAGGGGAAGCCAAATCAGTGGTGATAAAGACAGGCGGGAGCCACCCAGTCACTCAGGATCAGCCATCTTGGCTGCAAGGCATTCTAACTGTATAATTTCAGTTTGAGATATATTTCAAAATTAAGATTAGTTTAAGTCATGTACCTTATTGTCCAAAATACTTTCATTATTCTGAGCTTGTGTGGTGCCAAAAAAGGCTCCAGGCAACCACTTTGTGCAGAAAGTGTTATCTATATTTATATGATTTTTTTTATTTTCTATGTATTACATTACAACAACACTGAGTCCAAGCAAAGAGTGCAACTATATATAAATACTTCAAACCTTGACAAAGGCCCTGCATACCAAATACCAGTGGTTCTTACATTTCACAGAAAAAGCCTTAAATATAAAATATAGTCAGGAAAGTATTTTGCACTTTTGTGTTATTGATTTATGAGTGGGTGTAAAGGCTTAGATTTACTTTTCAACATATCCATTATTTGTAAGATGTCTAACATTTGATAACTGTGTGTTGGTGAAACATGATAATATGGAAACGTCTAGCGCTGACTCGTACCTGTGTTTGTCTGTTTGTGAAAGAGGGCATATATGCTGATATAACCCTTTTGCAGAATATGTTGTTAGCATCCATCATATAAAGGGAATAAGGGTTAGAGACATCAAAGTTAATCCTCTAAAATCCCTCAAAATAAAAATAAAAATGTGTACACACAACAGAACACACACAGATATAGACAGATGCAGTCCAATCTGTCTCTTTCATCAGCAAGCTCAGCAGGAGGAGTATTAGTTTGAACAATACCATATCTACTGTTTTCAGTCTAGAACCCCCTGCAGGGAAGAGCAGTTTCTACTTTCAAAAGATCAGAACTATAGTTCCAGATTATGATTTATTTCATTAGGCAAATGAGAAGTTTGAGCCCTACGGCACTGCTGACTGAGTCACCACTTTTTACCGTCTTGCTTTGAGTGCGCTTGCCTGTACGCAAAGCACACACACACTCACTTAGAAGACATGTAATTTTCACATGTCTCATATAGCCCCTTAACTGCCTCAAAACATATGTAGTCTGATTCAATCAAGCGTTAAACACTGTGGAGTGATGAGCTGGTAGTGGTAACAGCTGTTGCTATGCCATCCTGCACAAAATGGCCTCAGATCTCCCCGTCTGATCATTATACCTGTCCACCACAGGGGGAGCCTCTCCTCTCCTCTCTTCTCCTCTCCTCTTCTATTCCTCCCATCCCATTTGCCGGCTGTGATACCATTAGTATGCTATACCACTTGTGAGTCACTCAGTTTTCTGCAGTTATTATCACATATTCCAGTGATTAATGCAGAATAGTACAATGTATAACCAACTTAAATGGCCTTCTTTAAATGTAAGAAGACAGACGCATTGGCTTCAGCTGATATTTAAATGCATTTATCTTAACTATCCCCCTTATTTAAAGCAGTATTTTGTACCCTACTCACCAAATCATCAAGTAAGACATTCTGTTCAGATGTATTTCTCTGTCCCCTCTGCAAAAAAATTGATTGGCAGAAGAGCGTTCATTTTCAAAGCCCCAACAGACTGGAATACTTTACCTGCTGCTATTAGATCTCTTGCATCATTGGGTATATTTAAACATGCATTGTTATCTAACTTTCAACTGGTCTGTACTTGTTATTAACTGATATTGATGAAACTGATTTGCTCGACTATCTCAAATTGTAATGATTGTGTGCATTGCTTGAATTTTACTTAACAGACTGTATGTGGTTTGTCTTGTGTGTCATGTTTTGCATTTTGTCTTTTTGTTTAATATTAAGTTGTTGCTATTGTCGGGACCCCCTTGAAAACGAGATGGTGCATCTCAAGGGGTTTATCCCAATGGATAAAAATGTCTATATATATTAGTCAACACTGTCTAATTCAAATGCCATACTGAGAGGGGGAAGAATGAAAAAGCAGCACAGTCGAACAATTCCTCTGCATGGATCTACAGTCACATTCAAATGTTTATGTGTCACTTACCTTTCTGAATCTCTTTTTCTTGCAGGACCACCCTCAGGGAGGGTGTAAGCTGAGGACCTGACGCCCCGCTCCCCTGTGCCTGCTGACCGCCTCTACGCTTTACCCCCGCCCCTCGCCTTGCCCCCTGCTTAGCCTCCACCATGGCTCTGGCAGTGTGTATCATCTTAGCTTGTGCTGTGGCTTTCAACAATGTCGCCCCTTCCTCACCAGGTGTGTAACAAATACACATTTTATTTTAATATTGCATTTCAAACTAGAATGGCACTTGGAGATGGCCGACCTCCGCCAAGCCAATGGTTCTCCTGGGATGTTCAGGAAGTTGCTCTCCTGATTTTAGTGTGATTATGAGTTTTAGGTCGTAATGTGAAAACAACATTGTATACTAAAGGATGTTTTTTATCTTATTACTCAGAGCATATAACAACTTGTTTTCCTGATTATTCCATCACCACATGAATGCAGTAGATGCCCTATCTCGCAAAGTTAACGAGAGTTACTTTTAATTTGTGTATTCTCTCCGTAATTCGGATCTGCTCCAAAATGTATTAATGCGTTTTTCCTTGGCTCAGGCTACACACAGGGGTGTCATTGTGAGGGGAATAGTAGGACTGAATACCCAGGGCACCAATTTTGGATGAAAATAAATAAATAAATAGTGGAGGCTTTCTGAGGTCCCTCTCCCTTGTTACGACAGTCTCATAATGGATCAGTCCGTCTTTATGCACTAGGATCTGTCTCTAAACGCAGCCTAGTGACAGCTGATGCTGCCTGGAGCACTCCTTATGAACACTGCCTATGTCAAATAAATTGTTTTTTTCCTACTGAAAGTTATTACAAAACAAGAGAATCCTTTCATGTGGAGGCCTCACGAACCTAAAAGACAGTCTACATATTTCTTGCGATATTTTGCCTATTTTCTAGGAAACTAGCGTTTCATGTTTACTATTGGATACATCGCAATCTCAAGATTCATATGTAACCAGTAGGTTTTCGCTGTCTTAACAAGCTCAAGGGAGATACTTGTGTACAGAGCCCAGGATTTGGTGCAACACCCTTGGCTACACCCTTCCACTAAGTTTAATGAACATCGTGCTAGTTGTTTTTTTAGTAATCCATTTGAAAGTCAGACAAACAAGCCGAAAACCTAACTTCCCTTGGCAGAAATTACAACCGGGGGCCTTACAGGGTTAATAATTAAATTCCTGCCTATCTGCATTAAGAATTTACTGTATTTTATGTGTACAGTTTTGATTTATATCTATAAAGTAAATAAATACAATGTGTATGATTTCAATTGCTTCACTAAGCCAGCTTGTAATGAATAACATAAGCTCCTGAGGGTTGGCTGTGCTCTGTAACTGGCCTGACCAGGTTATTGCAAATGAGGATGTAATATTTATACGTTAGCTACGTGATCAAGGTTGTAAGTATACTGACTTGCTGACCAGGCTAGAAACACTGCACTTGATTAACCAAACTGTCTCTACAGGAGACGGAGAGAGGTTTTATGTGTGGTACAGCGTGTGAATGTCAATAAAATCTCTTGTCATTTCGATGTTAGTTGGAGCGTGGCAAGAATATAAGGGGGAATCCGTGCATGTAATAGTGCCATATGTGTGACCTCCTTGAATGTGACATGTACCATAAGATATTACATTTTGTGTTTTACTGTGTGTGTGTGTGGTATGTGTGTGCTAGTCGTTGTAAGCGTGGCAGCAGGTGACCTGGATGGGCTGAAGTGATGCTGGGGGGTGTGTGTGTGTGTGTGTGTTGGAAGATGTGGAAAGGAAAGGAGCAGGGATTGCATGGGGAGGCAGAGGGCCGAGGGGGGAAGGAGGGGCTGTCGGGTGTCCTGCTAGTGGCCTGCCACACAGACAGCAGCACACCATCTGCTCTATGCTCTCGGTCAGCTCTCTGCCAACGAGCCGCTGGGTGACGGACAGCAAGGACGAGCAGGGGGAGGAGCATCAGGGCCAGACACGGCCATCTCAGGGAGGGGCCAATGAGTGAGCAGGAGGAGCCAAAGAAACTGAGCGAGGGAGGTCAAAATGAAAATGTGTTGTGTATGCCTGTGTCAGCATTGGTTTTAGCTTTCCCTCTGTGTAAGCTCTGATTGGCCAGGTGCAGTTCTAATTTGAGTATGTTTTTTTCCCATATCAATTTCTCCTCTTTTGTAACATTGAATTTGAGCAGCATACAACTTGTTACAATCGGACACAATTTGCCTCTGGCACCGTGTGGCTTTGGATTTGCGTTACAATAATCCAACTATCTATGTGACCTGGCACCTGGGACTATTAATAATCCGTTAATCATCAATTGACTGTTATCTGTATTAAGCGCAACATTTTATCTGATGAAATTAGGTGAAATATTGTTCTATCAGGCATGCACGTGAACACATGCTCATGTACACCAACACGGTTTTGGTGCTGTTAATTTTGCCCGCCAAAGTTTGGCTGGAGTGTTATTCTCTTTATTCTACCGTGGTGTAATCAGGGGAGCAGGACAAAAGAGAGAAGAGCAAAGGAGGGAGAACCGGAAGGAAGAGGGCAGGGTTTTCATGTGACGAGAGCTGCTGAAATCACTCTCAGGCTAATCAGAGCTCATTTGGAAACCTGCAGGATCATCACACATGGCTTCACAGTCTAATGTGTACCCTTGCTCCTTCGTGGTGTCCCAACGATCTGCCATGCTTTAACCTCACTTTACTTCTGGCTGCAGATTCTAATATTTATCCAGCTCTTTAAATGCAAATGTTCCTTACCAGCATGAGCTCGGTACACATACTTTTTTCCAGCTCTGTCCCGCCAACCACACTCACCAGCCTTATTATTTCTTAAAATAACTATGCAATTCTCCATTTCTCTTTGGCTGTGTTAAACTAAGACAGTGTTTCCATCGGTGTATGCAAACTCATACTTGCCTTGGCAAAAAAAAGTAATATTTTCCTAGACGCATATACAAAACTGCTTCACCAGCCTGGCACGGCAGGCTGTCTGACGGAGTGACATGCAAACCCTGACAAACGAAATGTCCCGCTGATTCCACAGAATGCTCAAAAATGTACAACCCTTCATATGCGGTGTTGTTGCATTGAAAGCCCATTAGGCTTGCTTAATGTGGCAGGCATTGCAGGCAGCTGCTCCGTACATGATGAAGCCCTGACACAGAGCTTTCATTTAGCATAGCGCAAGCATTGGCCTCTGCATGTGTGTGCACTTGTGTTTGTATTTATGTGCATCAGTGGGGGAAGCCAGATCATAACAAGGCCATGTATGGGTCCTTTCAGCTTGTAATGCATGAGAGCTGTCTTAACGTACATACAGTTTGTACACGGTATGTACATGTGTGTGTTTGCATTATTTTATTGTATGTGTTAGCATTTGATGTGAGTGTAGCTTGTATCACGACACCAGCAAACTGACTGGGGAAATCTCCCCTGTATTTAAGCCTTTGCTCTCAGATCAGTCGTGTGGAAAGGCCCCTGGTCCTAGAGCACACGCTGACATTTTTATCTGTCTTTCCCTTCTCAGCGTTACCTTTTTTTCCTGTGCATTTTCCCCTGAACAGAAGTTATTATTTAAGGGTGGGGGCTAGACGTTTTTACACATCTCCTCAACAAAGTGCTTTAGTCTCTCAAGTGTCCTTGGATGGGGACAATGTGTAAATGGGGACTGATCTCAATGCAGTATTTTTCTTTCTATAATGCAGGGACAGGTAGTTATATTTCCTGGGTTTCCACATGAAGAATTCTCTATGCCATTGCAGGCCAGATGCTTTTTTACAACAGAGCTATCATAAATTGTTGGTCAAAGAGTTGAGTTAAGATCTTAAAAGAACCTTGACCTGAAACCATATCCCATATTGAATGTTTCCACATACAGTAGATGCTTAGTCGCACAATACTATATTATTAAAATGATCATTTCAAAACTGCAACCTACTCACTAATTCATAAGAATTGATTCTTTGACAGCCTTGTAGCAATAATATCTTTAGAGGAGGCAATAAAGCCACAGTGCCGCTAACCTTGCTATGTGCTCTCGGCTTATTGTTGTATCATTTGTAAAGCACATTGTTTAATGTGTGTGTTTTGTGAGCTCTTTGCTCTAAACCCTTGCTGCTATCAGACAGAGCATATATCTGGCAGAGCACTTTGGATCAAAATAAGAGTTGGAGAAGTGAGAAACAATCTCCCTGTTTTTTCTCCTCCAACAACTAAGCTGCTATTCCATCCTGCGTCGTGATGTCCTTCGCCCAAACTCTCCTCTTTTTGCTGCCCTTCCCTCTCTCTTCGTATTCCTTTTACCTCTTCAAATGTCTTCCTCTCTTACAGTAGCACACTCTCTTTCACCTCTGTCCTCTTCAGCCTTGCTACATTTTCTATCCAGCCACCCTGCTCTGTTTCCCTTTTCTCACCCTCTGCCTAATATATGATAACCACGACATCTGTTTCGTTATCATTCCCTCCTTTCCTTTTTCTTTCACTCATCTTTTGCCTCTTTGTGTCTTTCGGTTGTTTGCCACCTCCCCTGCTGCCTCCCTGGTGCTGGGGGTTTATGTGCTCTTCAAAGCCCTTGGCTGAGAGCAGTAGATCACAGAGAGGCCTGTGTGAGTGAAAGGTTAATGGATGGCCTTTGAACATATATTGGTAGTCGGGGGCGGGCAGGAGACGGAGGGAGAGGCCTGGGCGGAGTGGCGGTGTGTTCTTTCAAACCTTCCTTTGAAGATGACGCACACTGCTCTCATGTGTCGGTGCCTGTACACGGGGGCTGTGCCTTTTTTGTTTATTCATTTGTTCACAGTGTTGGTGTGCGCGTGTTTGTGAGTGTGTGAGCCCATTCCGTTTGTGTTTGCTTGTAGTTGTGTGTGTCGAGGTGTTAATTTGGGTACATTGATTTGTGTGCCGCAAACAACCTCCTACATTAAGGACTGGGGATTGTGTTCCTGTTTGTGCAGTCGTGTGATAGCTGCCCCTTTTCTCTCAGGGCCTAGCAGCGTATCTTTGAGGCTTTGTAGCCTATGTTGTGTGTTGTGTGTGTGTGTGTGTGTCTCTGTGTGTATGTGTGTCTGTTTGCATGTGGCTGTGTTTGTGTGTATGTGTCAAGCATGTCATGTGCTCGAGATCTGTGTGCATTTGCTTTTTCATGTGTTTTTTGGACTGCAGATTTATAATTACCAGCAGCAGCTTACGGCTGGAAGCCAAG